GTGAAATCCTGTGTTTGTGAAATCCCACAGGAGAGGTAGAGGCTGGCCCGGAGCTGCCCCTGCAGGTGCCCAGCCCAGGGAACCCTGCCGTGACAGATCCAACTGCTAGGGAGCCAGGACTGCGGCGCAGAGGAGGATCAGAGCCGTGGGAACAGGGGGCAGGTCCAGGCAGGGAGGGCAGAGACAGTGGGCTCCGTCTCCTCAGCCTCCAATGGGCTGAGCTCAGGGCACAGGATGACTTCCATGGGTCGAGATGCTTTACTTTATGGGTCCCTTCTCCTAGCAAATATTAGAAATCATATCTGATGGCTGCATTGGTATAACGGCAAATGTACTATTTGATCTTAAAGGTTCATTTCCTCCTCTCCGATTTTAAAAGGAACTCAAACACTGTTGTGGGCCTCTAGAAGCACTGTGGGCTCTGAGCAGCGTGCCTGGGGATCAGGTCCTGACTGAGCCTTCCAGACAGCCTGTGTGTAGGGGGGAAGAGAAGGGTGTGTGAGGGGCTGGCAGGCTCTCTGTAAGTCACATCTACTTGCTAGTTTCAGTATCATCACATGCAAAATGGAGATAAAAATACCTCCCTGGGGCTGCCGGAGGGTGAAATGAGATGGCATCTGTGGAGTGAAGCCTTGTCTCCGCTCTGAGACAGGGCTACAGTCGCCAGAAGAGAAGGATGGCTCAGGAGAGTTTAGAGAATCAGTGAAAAAGAAAAAAAGATTATGAAAAATTTTTAAAAAGGTAATACTCAGGATTTTCAGCCATAACTGAAATTAATTTCACTAAAATAAGACGTTTGGCAGAAGTAGAAGGAAGGGGATTCATATGACAAGCCCATCCAGGTTATGGTCAAGCAAGGCCTGGCTCCCCTGCCAGGAGTCTGGGACTTGGAAAAGCTGAGGAGCTTATGAAAAGAGAGAGAGAGAGAGAGAAAGAGAGAGAGACCAGATCCTTAGAGAGGCCCATATCCAAGCCCGTCCAAAGGGGAGCATGAAGGAAAAAGGATAAATGACTGGAAGACATTGAAAGGTCTTCATTGAGTGCATTAGGGCCAGGTCAGCCGCTGGACGAGGCCCCCCATTCACACGCAGGGGAGGCGGCACTGGCAGGCAGGGGAGAGGTCAGGGCCAACCTGAGAGGAGCTTAGAGTACACCAGGGTCAGGGCTTCGCCCAGGGTGGGGAGAGGCTATGGGGATTGCTGGGGTCCAGGACACTCTCTAGACCCTGCTTGCCTACATGGATGGACCTTCACATCCCTCCAGCCATTTGCTGACTCATTCACTCATTCCTTCACTCGTAGGATGCTTTCAAAGAGCCTACTCTTCTTCATGGAGAAGCAGACAGCCCAAGTATGAGTGGCTGAGGGGCTGGCTCCCAGATGAGGTGGCGGGGGTAAAGATGACCTCTCTCCGGGGTGATGTGAGGAAATGGGACCCCAGAAGGTAAGAGGTTTGCTCCCCGTTACACAGCTGGCATGTGTGGCTAACAGCAGGGCCTGTGTGTGTTTTCTAGGCTGCTCCCCACTGCAGTGCCAACTCTTGGATAAAAACATGAAAGAGCAGCATCAGCAGGGAGAGGGCCTTGCCCTGGGCTCCATGGGACCACACAGATCCAGATGGATGGTTTTCCGTGGCAAGGAGCAAACAGAGAGGAGTCTGGGGAGCAAGGAGGGGGTGGGGCAGCGGGGAGGAAACTGGCATTTAAGCACACACAAGCACTCAGTAAGTGGAAGCAATTAAACACAATTATGAACACGTACCAGGCGTTACCCTAGGATGTTTATCTATGGGGATACACTGAATCCTCCGAGCAAAGCCCTGAGGTGGAGACTATTATTAGCTCCATTGACAGGATCAGGATTAGCGATAGATTTTGCAGAGTCCAGTGCAAAATAAAAACATGAGGCCCCTTGTTTGCAAGAGAATTTGAAGATAGCAACAGGAGAGCACTAAATCAAGGAAGTCCAGGACCCTGCTGGGCAGGTTCTACCCCTGTGAAGCCATCCCTGTCCCAGGTGATGGACCAGCAACTTGTCCCAAGTCACAGCCAGCTCACAGCGGATCCAGATTCAAAACCTCATTCTCAGATTTCAAAGCTAATCCTTTATCACTAGCAAATCGACACAAAGTCTATTTGAGCTAAAGGTTTAAAAGAATTCAGAAGGGGAGTCTGAACTTGAAGCTTCTAGCATCACTAAGGCCTGTGTGTAGGTTTCAGCAGGAGCATTGGGTGAGTTTCTCCAGTGAAACTGGATTTCACCTCCAGCGGACTGTTGCCCAGTGAACACAGGAGAAGGGCATGGCTGGGCCCCACACCAGACGCATCATTGTTTTATCAGGTTTTGATCTGGCAACCTGTAGTTTTCCCCCTTTTAAGACTCTGCTGAGAACATGTGCCCATCGACTGCTGATAAAATGTGAAGGCTGTCCATTCCAGAGTTCTAGGAGGAAGAGTGGCAAGGCTGGGTCAGTTGGAAGCTCTGTGCTTGAGTCCCTCATAAAATTGCCCACTGCATGTGGGAGCAGCGGGTACGAGGCGCTCTGGCAGTGACTCTCTGCAAGGATGTGTCAGTCAGAATGATCATATGCAAAGTGCAGATAGACAACGCCATCAGGGTGTGCCAGGGAGGCAGGGAGATAACCAGGGCCACCCTGCCCAGGGCTGGCTCTCCATGCCCTGAAATGGAGCTTCTTCCCCTGAACGCTAGAAAGGGGTCAGTATTGTGCCTGCTGGCCCCAAGCAGTGTGTGACTTCAGTGTTTTCACAATAAGAGGAGGGGTATCTGGCTTTCACATGGATACGCGGAATAAGAGAGACTAGAATGCAGCTCCATGAAGAGTTCTGAAGGAGAGGCAGTGATGCCAGCAGAGCGGGGGTGGGAGCAGGGACCACAGAGCCCTGCTTCGCCCCCATCTGGAGCTGGGGGACCCCAGGCGAGGCAGGCACCCCTCCCCAAGCCCAGTGCTTGCTTGTGAAGGGGTCAGAACCGCACAGCCTCTCCGGTGATGTCAGGGCCCGCCCAACCTTCGCCTTGCCCAAGAAGGAACCAGTGTCGGTGGGCCAGACTCTGCTTGCATGCGGGAAACAGGCTCTTGCCAGTTTCTGCCATGGGCTAAGATTTGGTACAGGAACGTCGTTCTAGAAGAATGTAGAAAAATGAAAATGTATAATAACTAAGGCTGGAGCCCGCATTCTCTTGGAAGTTCAGATTATGTGAGGATCTGAAGAAAACCCAGGCCAAGATGAGAGGGAGGTAGGGACAGAAGAAGAGGGAAGGATGCAAAAATGAACCCCAGCTGGGTAAGAAGGTGGGAAGGACTAGGTGGGATTCCTGGGGCCCAACAATTGTGCCTTTGGAATTTGACTCCTGTTCGCCTAAACTTCTTATTTACTGGTCTCCACGTCCATGCCAAGTTCTAGACCAGGAGCTCCTGACTGAAGGCTTTTTAAAGGCTCTTTTGGCATTGGAATGGTGGCAGTCCTGGGAACGTGGATGGGTTTGGGGTCATCCCTGCAATTACCCACCGGCTTCAAAGAGGCTCAGCAAACACCTCTCTGTGCCAGGCCTTGAGTCAGGTACAGGCAGGGTCACAGAGCCCCTTGGGAAGTCAGAATTCTGGGAAGAGGGCAGACTCAGGAATCTGTCAGGGCTGCAGCTGTGCCCACGGCCGTGATGGGTGGTTTTCTAGGCTTGGGAAGCTGAGTCCTAGCAGACCAGCAGATGCCTGTGCCCTGGGCACTCCGTGTGTTGAGGAGCCTGACATGGGCAGTTGTGAGGGGTGAGGCTGGAAAGGTAGCAGGCCTGGAAAGGTGCATGGGGGAGGGCTTGAGGACCACCCCGAGCCAGCCGTTGAGGTAGGTAAGGGCAGCAGCAGCCCAGTGCAGGCCAGGCCTGACCACAGAGAGCAGGGCATGGGTGCAATGGCGGACTGGGGGGGACAGGGCACACAGGCCTGGCTGAGGAGCTGGGGGTGGCAGGCAGGTCCTGAGTGTCTGTGCCTTAAGCATCCCTCTGTGTGCAGAGCCACAGCAGCGTGCCCTGCCTGGCACATACAGGTTGTGGACCACACACCCTGCAATGCTCCCCTTGGCTTGGCCTGGGTTGCCTGTGGGTTCTGGCAGCCTGTGTCTACAGCCTGGCTGTATCCCCAGTGCCTGGGTGCCCTGTGGCGGCTTATCTCCCACTGAACCGCTATAAAAAATTCACAAATTAGCTGGATATGGTGGTGTGTGCCTGTAGTCCCAGCCACTTGGGAGGTTGAGGCAGAGAATCTCTTCGACGCAGGAGGTGGAGGTTGCAATGAGCCGTGATCGTACCACTGCACTCCAGCCTGAGTAACAGAGCACAAGACTCTGTCTCAAAAAAAAAAAAAGAAAAAGAAAAGAAAAAAAAAAAGAAAAAAAGAACATGCCTATCAGAGAGGGTGTGCAGGGGAGACCCAGGTAAGGCCATTACCAGGGCTTGGTGTCTAAGTACTAAGTTGTTATTTTATCAAAAGCTGAAAACAACAGTGGTCTGCAGGGTGATCCTCAGGCCAGCCTTGCTCCAATGAATTCCACTAACAAAAGCCACCTCCCAAGCCTCTGCTATGGGTGCAGGGCCAGTCCCTTCTGCTGTTGCTTTCAGGTGATTTCAGTTATTACCACTCACAGATGGGAAGACTGAGGTGCCGAGGTACCTCCGATCTCTCTCAAAGCTGGTGAACATTGGAGCACAGTCAAACCCAGGGCTGACTCCACAGCACGGATGTTGCTGTGGCCTCTGCTCTGCCTGTCACTCATCATGTGATGAGGACACATCCTTTCACTTCTGGGTCACGTTTCCTCCCAGGGGTGGGGTGCCAAGAGGAAATGAACAAAGGCATCAACCGACACTTCCCAGAAGAGTAATACAACCTCTTACGGAAGTAAGAAAACATGCTTAGCCTTACTTAATTACAGAGGCTTATTCCAAAGTAACAGTGTTTTTTTATACTCATCAGTTTGGCCAAGATTAAAAAAAAAAATGCAGTGTGAGGATGCAGAGAAATGGTGACTTTCATAGGCTATTTTTGAGCATAGGAAACTGGTATGACCTTTAGGAGGGTAGTTTCTCAAGATCTACTAACATTTTAAATGGATACAGAAATTAAATGCTGAGGTAGGGGAATTTATCCTAACAGTTTACAATCACTTGCACGTAAACCCTACTTACTCATTGTCACAGGAATACTGTGTTTGGTTTAAAAAATTAAATGAAGTTTGCACACAGCCTAAATGCCCATTGGAAGAGGAATTGGTTAAATACAATACCAAGGTCATTCATATATTCATACAATTCTTATTGTGCAGCCCTGGGAAGAATGGGCTAGTCTCTACATGGTGTTAAGTTATCATGTTTAAGAGATATTCTGATGGAAAAGAACAAGACGAACTAAAACACATGAAATACACTTTATTATGTAAAATAAGAAATATTTGTATTGGCAAATTTACTTCTGGAAGGATTATCCTCAAGAAATAAAGCAATTGCCTTTGCGGTAGCGAGAAGATGTCTTTCTCCTATTTTTAACTCTTCATTCACTGTTAACTTTACTGTTTGTTTGGTTTTGTGTTTACAGCATGCTTGCGGGCACTTTGCGTGTCCTCAGTTACTGGAAGATGGTTTGGCTGCGGCCTCAGACAAACACTTGAGGCACAGATGTATACGCAGGTCTGCCACCAGAAGAGGCATGCTGACTTGGCTTGCCCCAACCTCTCACCCCTGCTGAGGAGGCCTTTTCCTAAGCATTGCAGATGGGTTCATTTGTTCCCACCGCAAGCTCCTAGAATGCTTTGTACTTCCCACCCCTTTCCTCTCCAGGGAGCTCTGCAAGTCCCCAGAAATACTTGCCTAACCACAGGCACCCTTGGAAAGGTCCAGCTGCTGACTGCCAGCACCATGTGACTCCCAGTGCCAGTGACATCTGGAGGAATTGAGCAATGGCTGAGGTGGAATTTCATTTGGCACTTAATGGAATCCTCTGCTTCTGCCAGAGGCGGTGAATTCTATATAAAGCTGCCAAACCTGGCCGTGTCTCCTCACTGAGCCTTGATCCCTTCCATCCAAGGGTAAGGTAAATGAATTGCTGTGCATGACTCACGAGCAGTAACTGTGGTTTTGGGGCCTAGCCCACCTGAGCAGAGCAAGCCTGCCTGGCGGAAGTGGGTCCTCTCCACTCTAACCTCTGGATCTGATGAGCAGCTACATAAACTGAGACAGGATATAGACACATCCTGCCTGAGTTGGTAGCAAGAAATAGCTGCCTCCCCCCACCCTCCTGCAGTTCCAGCACAGCAGGAATCCTGCCATAAATCAATCTGAAGCCTAATGTGGAATAGCACGCCAGCCACCGCTGTTTGTCTCCCAAGGTCAGAAACCTGAGTCCTGGAAAACTGCTTGTGGGGCTGGGCTGGGCTGGGCATGGGGCAGCGGTCTGGCAAGCCCATCCTCTTCAGGCATGGGGATGCCTTTCAGCCTCACCTCCTCAGTGCCTAAATTGGAATAAGGACAGTGGCTTCTGTCCCTTTAACCCAGGCCGCGCCATATACACACACACAAATACGTGCTCAAGACACACGCACAATCACACTAAAGCATGTGAACTCTGAGAACCACATACAATTATATAAAGATGCCCAGCCTGGATCCAGCACTTGGGTTGTGTCCGTCTCTGTGCGGAGCCATTTATACGCACTTCTTACTGCTAAGATAAGGACTCTCCTGGTATTATTCCTGCTTTGCAGATGAGTAAAGTGGAGCTGAGAGGCTGCCTTGCTAACAGGCAGTGCAGACGATCCCAGTGCATACCGAGGGGCCTCACTCCCAAGCACCTTTGATGCCTGTGCACTCCCAGGCTGGCCCAAGCAGAGCCATGGGCACACGCAGTGCAGTGTACACACGTAGACCGAAGCCACGCTCATCCATGCCAAGCTCCGGCAGGGTGAGGGGTGAGGCCTCACAGCCCTCTGGATTTCAAAGACTTCTAAGAGAGCTGGTGTCTCCAATACCCATATCATTATCATGTTAGTAAGGTAACGTTATCACATGATAGGCTCAGGACAGCTTCTCTCTGACAGGCTCTCAGGATTGGACCGCGCCAGGGTGGGGGATGACAGGGGCATGCATTAGGCTTTTTGGTTAAATAAAATGGTAATTTTTATTGCAAAAGCCCAGTGGCAGAGGAAAAGGGCAGAGGAGGCCCAGCAATGTTTCCAAGTACCTACAAAAACTTTCATCGCATATGATTTCCCGTCAGCAAGAAACCGTGATGGTTTAAAAGAGAAAGAAAACAAGCAGTGAGGAATTACGAGCCCCCAAAGGATTCAGGCCGGCGACTCCCCCGCGTCTGTGTGCCCCTGCGGTGCCCAGCGGAGCCAGCACGTCCCGGGGCAAGGCTGGAGTTGCCTGGAGTTCACCCGGGCGCGCCCGGCCCGCCCCAGGCTGGGGAGCAGCACAGACGCAACTTGGTGTGGACTCTTCCCTAACTGTTCTTTAGGGGGACGATTCTGGCCCCTGACACTTCACATGCCCCGCACAAAGAAACACAAGGCGGGCGACGCGCCCCGGGCGGGCGGGCTGGCGGCCTCTCCAGCTCCGGGACGGCGTCCGGGACGCGGGACAGGGACAAGGCACCGGGAACAGGGGCTGGAGCCGGGATCAGAGCCCAGCGGGCGCCTCCTCCGCCGGGAGGCCGGGCACCGACCGGGACACCCGGGCTTCCGTGGCCGCGGCTTGGCCCCCTGGCTGCTTGCTGCGGGCCTCGGCCTCCCGCGGGCCCCCAGGACCCCTTCCCACGGCGGGTACTCACCGAGGTCGAGGGGCTGCGCCGTGCGGTTGGGGCTGCTCATGGCCCACGGTCCTGGGCGTCAGCCCGGGCAGACGCCGCGGGGACGGGCCGGGCCGGGCCGAGGGAGGGTCGCGCTCCCGGGATCCTGACCCTCAGCGGCGGGAGGAAGCGGCACCTGGGTCACACGCCTCCCGCGCGGGCCGAGGGGAGGGGCTCTGGCCCGGAGATAGGCAGACTTCATTTATTTTTTTTTCTGCAGACTTGGCTGGTGGGGTTTCCACCCTTTTTTTTTTTTTTTAAACACACACCCGCCCACTTCTGAACTCTTCTGTGCTCCAACTTTCCTGCGCAAGAACCACACTTTTCTAACTGTTTCTCTTTCCATCTGCCACTACCGGATACAGAGGTAGTGCCTGAGAAGTCCCCCTGGAGGGCAAGGAAAACTCCCTGATGTGAAATGATGACCTGGCCCAACACTGTCGGGGATGGTGACCAAACAGAGCAGATCTGTGTTGAAATCTTGGCTGGCTGCGCCGCCGCTGGATGGCTGGGCGGCCTCTCTGAGCCAGCCGCCGGGCATTTGTCCCTGGGGAAGAGTCCCTGTCTTGTTGGCCTTTGCGAGCCCTGTACCCATGGATGGCCTGTTTAGCAAAGATTATTCCAAAACAGGAAGAATTGCCGGGCAAGGGTCAGGTGATTTGTTCCCATTGCCTTTCTCTGAAGCTCCCAGACACAGTGGAGTTTGTGAATTTGCTCTACTTTTGACATGAAAACCTACACATGGATTTCCATACATACCTTGGTTCGTTAAATGCAAGTCAGTCAACTGGCACCACCTACAAAAAATGTATCATAGCGTCATCTGCCCATTCTACCCAAAGACAAGGAATTTGGAGCCCTTGTTTTAAATCCCTGCCCAGGGGAACACCCTGTGCTTCTGTGTGATGTCTGAACCGTCCTGTGCTGCTTTTCATTGTTTACTTGATACTTTCCCAAGCACTTTTGTGGCTCCCTCCTCTCCTCTACCTTCTGCCATTAAGGCCTGTCCTGCACAATCCAGAGAGCCAGGCCAGCTGTCTGTGCAATGTGTGAACAGTGCCTTTGGGGCTGTCCTCTGCGTTGAATACAATGAGAGGCTGACCCCTGGAGATGTGCAGCATAGAAGCTTTGCTCCCCTCCACCTGGGCTGCACAAACTCCAGGCCTTCTTGGCATAGTGGGAAAGCACTCATGATTCTCTTCGGTTAGGTCATGAAGAGCCACCGCTGCTTGGGATCTTTAGTCAAACTGCCATGTGCAGCACGGGCATGTTGAACTGAAGTAAACTACTCACAGAATGCCTTTGGCCTTCTGTGGGGAAGCCCTGAATCTTGATTTCTTCATGCCTAAAATGGAGGCAAGGTTGCCTGAATGCCAGGGTTTTACAGAGGCAGTGATGGTAGAATCCCAGTGGGAACAGAAAAGGCATTTAATAAACAGAAACGAGCAACGATGACTTTAACAGTTTCACTTCTTTTTTTTTTGGTAATAGATACATATATGTCTAAGTGGGACAATAGTCCTTCTCTCCTTCTTTCTAACTTTCCAGTTGCATTTCACATAAAGTTGTGAAATGTTATTTTCACAAACAATTAAAGTTATTTTCTCTTTAATTGTGTGAAATGCAACTGGAGAGTTGGAAGGAAGCAGAAACTCCTGCCAGGTAACCAAAGAACAAGTCATTAGGTCATTACAGCACGCTTATAGAACCTGTTGGCCTTAGACATAATTTAGAACCTGCTAGCCTTAGACATAATCATAAGAGATTTCCTTAATTTCTTAGGGTGGGACAGATTGAAGGCATCAAAATGTTGTAGACAATTCCTTACAGAAAGGGAGCCAAAAAATTAATAAACTAACTAAACAGCAAAAGTGGAAAGCCCCACACACTACAAAAGTCAAATACAAGAATAAAGTAGCATTTGTTACAGAACTAAATCATTCTCAGCTCCAACCATCACTGGAGGATGTGGCAGTTCCTTGTGCTATTAAAGAGCCAGGGCTTTGGACGTCAATCTGGGTTAGTTACCGCCTACTAGCTGGGTAACCTTTAGTATTTTACCTTCTTTCTCTGAGCCTCAATTTTCTTATCCTTGAAATTGGAGCAATCTACAAATTAGGCGTTGTAATATATTTGATAATAATTAATGAGATAATTACAATGGTAGTACACTGGAGATACTTAAAGATGTTGGCCCCCTTCTTCCTCTAACGCATACTTCATTTATAGTAAGGACACCAGATCATTTGAAAAAGAAAGTAAATAGTGTTTCATAGCGTGTAGCAAATTAGCTCGCGAAGAAACATTTGAAATATTTTAGAATATTTAACTGTGAAAGTTTGTAATGTTAAGTAAATGACTGTTACTTTAGGAAGGAAAAATAATTATATGAAAAATTTGATTATATGATAACAGTCTGATATTAAGTCAAGAAATGCATTGTTAATGTGTCTTCATGTGCTGGATATTTATTCATGAAGTTAAAAAACCTCAGCTATATCTTGCAACAATAAACCAGTTCTTATCTCATCTAATTCCCATAAATACTCTTAAAGAGAGTATTGCCAAGAGTCCATTGTGAAGATGAGAACCCAGAAGTTCAGAGCAGTGACAAGAACTTGCTCTGTAGCGCAGCGGACATTGACAGTTCTAGCTGTCTCTTCATTCACTGCTGTGACTGAAATCAGCTGCAGAGCCCTCCAAGGTATGAGGTGGTGTGATCCAGTCCGGAAGGTGAATTTTCTCTTTCTCTCCAGGGAAGAAACTGCCCATGGGAAATCGCCCTCCAAATCCTCAGTGCTGGTCCCTTATTGGGAGCCAAGTTGGAGGTCCCCTGCTGCTGTTGCTGTCTCCTGGGTGAGCCCCTACAGACTGGATGGGTAGATGTTACTTGGGCCCTTTACTGAAAGATTTTGCCCCTCATCACAGTAACACGTGTTCTTTGTGCAAAAAGAAAAACAATTAAATAGAGAAAACTTCAAAAAGATACCTAAACCCTAAGAATTGCTTGCAATCTCTAGCACATTAAAGTTATTTACCTTTAGCCCTTTTTAATGCATTTATGAATATTTGCTTTATACTCTTGAGATTTTACTGAATATGTGATTTCAAGTGCTGAGCTTTTACAACCAAACATTATGTCATGAGCATTTTCTCATATAAAAGTAGAAAAGCTGTTTAATTCATTTTAATTACTAGGTTGTTTCATTTTCTTTGCTAGTTAAATAGTGCTGTGATAAACCATATGAATATAAATATCTGGATTTCGTAATTTTTTCCTTAGTGTCTATTCCGACAAGCAGAATTACTCAACCAAAGTTTAGGAGTGTGTTTAAAGCTTTTGATACATTCATAAATTGTGGCTATAACCTTTACTTCTTCCAAATCAAGAGTACCAGTGCTTATCTCGGAGTTTCTTGCCAGAATTAAACAGTAAATTTAAAATCATAGTTAATTCTGTGCATGAGAAACATACATAGTTATTTGTTTTAGCATTTTCTTTGATTACCGGAAAAGTTGAACATGCTGTCACATGCTTATTTACAAATCTCAGGTTCTTTTAGGTTAATATTTTGTTCACACTGTTTCCTGATTTGGAGGTGTGATGGTTAACACTGAGTGTCAACTTGAGTGGATTGAGAGAAGCAAAGTATTAATCCTGGTGTGCCTGTGTGAGTGTTGCCAGAAGAGATTAACATTTGAGTCAGTGAGCTGGAGAAGGCAGATCCATCCTTAATCTGATGGGCACAATCTAATTAGCTTTCAGGGAATATAAAGCAGGCAGAAAAACGGGAAAAGGAGAGATGGGCCTAGCTTCCCAGCCTACTTCTTTCTCTCATGCTGGATGTTTCCTGCCCTGGAACAATGGACTCCAAGTTCTTCAGTTTTGGGACTCGGATCAGCTCTCCTTGCTCCTCAGCTTGAAGACAGCCTATTGTGGGACTTCGTGATCATCTAAGTTAATGCTTAATAAGCTGTACTTTATATAGGATATACATATATATCCCATATATATATGTAAGTTCTGTTCCTTAGAGGGACAGAACTAATAGGATATACATATGGGATATAATATATATCCATGGGACATATATATATATATATATATATATATATATATAAAATAGGATATATATATAGGATATATATATATATATAACTATATCCCTCTATATAGATCCTATTTTATATATATATCCCATTATATATTATATATATTCTATTATATACATATATCCCACTATATATATATATCCTATTATATATATATACCCTATATATATACAGAACTAATATGAGATATATACATATCCTATTATATAATATATATAATATATTATATATAAATATATATTATACATATATAATATATATTTCTTATATAATATATAATTATAATCCTATATATAATATATAATATATAATCCTATATAATATATATTGTATATGTATAATATATATGTAATATAATAGGATGTATATATAATAGGATATATATATATAAAATAGGATATATATAAAAATAGGGTGTGTGTGTATATATATATATCTCCATATATATATATATGATATATATATATATCTCCTATTAGTTCTGTCCCTCTGAGGGAACCCTGACTAATACAGATTTTGGTACCAGGAGTAGTTCTAGAGGAACGGAATATTAAACATGGAGTTATTTCATTGGTTTTGGGGTTTCTGGAGTTGGCTGCTTAATATGATTAGACCCCAAAATGCTAAAGAATCTACTTCTAATATTATGGAGAACAATGATAATCCTTGGAGTGAACTGTTTAGAAAGCTGTGTAAAATAAATGCATTTGACACTCCTAATTCACCGTTCATGAGAGGCAAGAAGTTTGGTGACTCTACATAATGCTTTTGACCATATGTGGAGAACCAAGGAACATAATGAAGCTGGTTGGTTGCTCCTAAGTTCAGGGACAAAGTGATGAAAGAAAATGATGAACTCAGGGATTCTGTCTCCTGGTTTCAGAAGCAGATACTGAGCCTCAAATCTGCTAAGACTGCCCTGAGTAAGAGTCTTAATCTTCTGTAGTGAAAGAACTGGAACAGTGGAAAACAGACGCAAGCCCTTACCATGCCAGTGGCTGACCTGCAATGAAAGATGCATGCACAGCCTCACCAGTTGTCTACTGTTAGAGTGAGGGAATTTATTGGAAAAGAATGGGATTCTGCAACTTGGAATGGGGACATGTGGGAGGACACTGATGAAGCTGGGGACACTGAGTTAACTCTGATGACACTTTTTTGCCAGAAGGAACAGCTTCCTCATCCCCAGTAGTGGCAACATTCCCTCCCTGACCCATGCTACCATCAACATTTCCATTTTTGTCTGAAAATATAAACCGTATGCTACCTGAGGCAACAGTCATGGCCTCCCCTGAAGCAGTTGCCAGGAAAAATAATGTTGATATTCTTCAGAAGCCACCCCCAACACCTTTGTTTGATTCTAGACCTATAACTAAAGACTTAGGGGGCCCCTAGAGGTGAGGTTGAGAGTGTGATCCATGAGGAGGTGCACTATATTCGAAAAGAGCTTTTTGAGTTCTTTAATTTATATAAGCAGTGATCTGGAGAACAGGCATGGGAATGGATGTTAAGGATATGGGATAATGGTGGAAGAAACACAGAGTCGAGCAGACTGAATTTATTGATTTTGGCCCACTAAGTAGGGAATTTTCATTCAATGTTGCACCTTGGGGAGTTAAAAAAAAGTTCTAATAGTTTATTGGCTTGGTTATCTGAAATACAGACTAAAAGATGGCCCACTGTGAGTGAGCTGGAAATGCCTGATCTCCCTTGGTTTAATGTAGAGGAAGGGATCCAAAGCTTAGGGAGATTGGGATGGTGGGGTGGCTTAGTCACTTTACACCTGCTCATCCCAGCTGGGAGGGTCCAGAAGATATATCCATGACAAATGCCTTGAGAAATAGATTTGTGAGGGCAGCACCTGCATCTTTTAAGAGCCCTGTATTGCTTTTCTCTGTCAGATCTAACGGTGGGAACGGCAGTCACTCAACTACAAAATTTAAATACAATGGGAGTAATTGGATCCCAAGATGTCAGGGGCCAAGTGGCAGCACTCAGCTGTCAAAGGCAAGGTGGACATAGCTACCATAATGGACAACAGAGGCAAAGCGGCAATCAGAATGGTCTGACTTGTGTAGAGCTCTGGCATTGGCTAAGTAATCACGGTGTTCCTAGAAGTGAAATGGATAGGAAGCCTACTGCATTCCTACTTAAATTATACAAATGAAAAACTTCTAGGTCAAATGCACAAAAGACTAATTTGAGTTATAAAAACAGAATCACAGTCCCTCAATCAACTTCCAGACTTTAGACAGTTTACAGATCCAAAGCCCCTGTGCGAAGGGGAGATTGGGTCCCCTTAAGGAAGGACTCCACTATGTTACTGACTATTTATGCAGTGAATCTTTCTCCCATCCTCCCCCAAGGAGACCTCCAGCCTTTTATCAGGGTAACTGTGAATTGGGGAAAGGGAAATTATCAGACATTTCAGGAAAGACTAGACACTTTCTCTGAGCTGATGTTGGTTTCAGGGGAACCAAACTGTCACTGTGGTTCTCCAGTTAAAGTAAGGTCAGGTAATTAATGGAGTTTTAGCTCAGGTCTGACTTACAGTGGGACGAGTGGGTCCCCAGACTCATCCTGTGGTCATTTCCTGAGTGCCAGAATGCATAATTGGCATAGACATACTTACCAGCTGGCAGAACCCCCACATTGGCTCCCTGACTGGTAGGGTGAGGGCTGTTATGGTGGGAAGGGACAAATGGAAGCCATTAGAACTGCCTCTAGAAAAATAGTAAATCGAAAATAATATTGCATCCTTGGAAGGATAGTGGAAATTAGTGCCACCATCAAGGACTTGAAAGACACATGGGTGGTGATTCCCACCACACCCTGGTTCAACTCTCCCACTTGGCCTGTCTAGAAGACACATGGATCTTAGAGGATGACAGCGGATTATCATAAGCTTAACCACGTGACTCCGATTACAGCTACTGTACCAAATGTGGTTTCATTGCCTGAGCAAGTTAACACATCTCTGGTACCTGGTATGCAGCCATTGACTTGGCAAATGCTTTTTTCTCCATTCCTGTGGATAAGGCCCACCAGAAGCAATTTACCTTCAGCTGGCAAGGCCAGCAATATACCTTTTCTGTCCTACCTCAGGGGTATATCAGCTCTCCGGCTTTGTGTCATAATCCTGTTCAGAGATGTTTTGATCCCTTTTTGCTTCTGCAAGATATCATACTGATTCATCACACTGATGACATTAAGCTGATTGGATCCAGTGAGCACAGCAAACACACTGGAATTATTGGTAAGATATTTGTGTGCCAAAGGATGGAAAAGAAACTAAAATTCAGGGACCTTCTACCTCAGTAAAATGTCTACAGGTCCATTGGTGTGGGGGCTGTTGGATATTTCTTCTAAGGTAAAGAATAAGTAGCTGCATTTGGCCCCTCCTTTAATCAAGAAGAAGGCGCAACACCTAGTGGACATATTTGGATTTTGGAGGCAACACATTTCTCATTTTATCACATTTCTCATTTGGATGTGTTACTCCAGCCCATTTATTGAGTGAACTGAAAGGCTGCCAGTTTTGAGTGGGATCTAGAACAGGAGAGGGCTCTGCAGCAGGTCCAGGCTGCTGTGCAAGCTGCTCTGTGACTTGGGCCATATGACCCGGCAGATCCAATGATACTTGAGGTGTGAGTAGCAAATAGGGATGCTGTTTGGAGCCTTTGGCAGGCTCCCATAGTTGAATCACAGCGGAGGCCTCTAGGATTTTGGAGCAAGGCCCTGCCCTCTTCTGCAGATAACTACTCTCCTTTTGAGAGGCAGATCTTGGCCTGTTACTGGGCTTTGGTGGAAAGTGAATATTTGACTATAGGTCATCAAGTCACTATGTGACTTGA